CAAAGGAAAAAAAGAAGGATATTATCTTCCCAAGAGCAAACTTAACTCTGGCAAGACAAGTTGGAGGTTATCTCCCCAGAACTCGAGGAGCCCCACCATTACTGGGACAAGGAGCTGGGATTATAGAAAGTTAGAGCAGGAAAAGAGTCTTGGAAGGCATTTGGCCTATTCCTCATTGGCTCAAAAAGGACATGTGACTTGTCCAAAGACATCAGGGTTAGATTCCAGTCCTGTGCACAGGACTCAAAAGAGCAGTCTTAAGTATGTGAGAGGTGTCCTGCCAGCTCATATTAAACAAACAAAACCACCAGCAACAAAACAACAATTAAAAATCTCTAGGGATAAGCAGAAGAATGGACCCCAAAGATCTCCACATCTTAATCCCTGGGACCAGTGAATAGATTACCCTCCATGGCAAAAGAGGCTTTGCAAATGTGATAAATAACCTTGAGATGGGGAACTTTGCCTGGATTATCCAGCTGGGCTCAAGATAATCACATGCATCTGTGAATACGAGAATCTTCCCAACTGTGGCCTGAGAGGGAGGTGACAATGGTAAGAGTTTGGTAGTGCAAAGATCAGACACATGTGAAGAAAACTGACCTACCATTGCTAGCTTTGAAGATAGAATAAGGGGGTCACTAGCCAAGGGATGTAGGCAGCCATCTAGACACTGAAGGAGCCAAGGAAACAGATTCTTACCTACGAACTCAGATAGAACACCTCCCTGCTGATGCCTTGATTTTAACCCAGTGAGACCTGTTTTGGATTTCTGACATGCAGAACTGTAACACTTATGTTGTTTTAAACCACTAAATTCATGGTAATTTGTTATAGAAGCAAAAGAAGAGTAATTTGGGACACACACAGGCATGCACCCTATAACTCCTAAGCAGGCCAAGTAGACAGGCTTCCCATCTCTCTCCATTCCTTCTTCTCACTCTTTTGTAGTATTTTTACCCTTTCAAAGATTCCCCTGAGGTTTATTTTAATCCCATCTCTCTTGGATTGATAGGTGAAGATTGGAGCAGAGGGCTTGCAGAGTGATTGGCTCTGGGTCTCACCCCTGAGAAATGGCACAGCCCTTTCCAGAAGGATTGGCCTGGGCTACATGACACCCTTCATGAAGCCAAATTGACAAAGAGCGGTCCTGTGCCAATCTGTTTAGCATCTAGAGAAACACTAGAGTCTCTGCTGGCCAGACCAGGCCCAGCACTGAGGGACGATTGTTACAGACTCTGGGCAAAAAGCGTGGCAGTCCAGGAAGCTGGAAGGGTAGTATTTACACACGGTTCTCCAAGAAGAGCAGGGCCTCTAGAGCACACAATGAGGTCCTTATAGCAGGGTCTCTCACGAATACTCTATAAAGCTCCAAGCATTCCCTGTGACTTCGTGCAAAAGCTGAGGGTAGTGAGGTATGACCTGTGTCATTTAGATATGTTATACCTGCATGTGGTCTGTTATGTAACCACTATCCCACAATTTATACTTTATTTAGCATCACCCAGATATCTTCGGAAAATGTTCTCTGCCTTCCACGTTGCGTGCATGGCACCAGTGTTGCTGACCTGGGAACCTGGGTGGGGCTTGAATTAAGTCAAAAGAATATTTGAGAAATGATTCTCAAATATTCATAATAATAAGTAAATAATGAGAAAGGGTGTGTGAATTCAGATGGGTACTTTCTTTGAAAGCTCACACAGAGTACTGAGGGGGATCAGAATGGGTGTTAGAGCTTGAATTTGACATTCCCCTCCTCTTGCCAAATGTTGAAGCAACATTACTTAATGCTGCTGGGTATGTAAGCCAAAAAACTCCTTGCAAGGTCAGGCAAAGGGTAAAATGCCTCAGAAACACTTAAATTGGCATCATTATTCCTGGGAAGTAAAGAAATGCCAAGGGGACATAGGTGGCAATGCCTTGGGTTTATGCAAAGTGCAAAGTAACTGTGGAGATTGAATATCAATATGAATTTCTCAGATCAGTGGAATGCTGTGAGCTTCCTGGCTTGGGGCTGGATCTAATAGGGGCAGATATTCTGGGGCTTGTCTTGTTCCATACTTGAAAAAAAATTGTTCAGTAGAGAGCAAAGTATTATTAAATCCCCAGTTGAAGTCAGGTGGCAGGTCGAGTCAGCAGGGCTTGGTAACAACTTTCAAAACATGTGGCCTGAAGCGGAACTGGGGAAAGCAGACTATGTGGATTATACGGATTGGCTAATTGGAGGGTACACGAGGGTGGCTGGGCACTGGGGTGCTGAAACAGTACACGGGGACCTCCAGCACCACACAGGTAGGACAGGAACACACGAGGGTGGCTGGGCACTGGGGCGCTGAAACAGTACACGGGGACCTCCAGCACCACACAGGTAGGACAGGAACAGAGTTAAATGTACCTAGCACAGGACTGGATGGACCTGGGGGCAAAGGAAGCTTGGGAAAAATTAAAGGTATCGATAAGGCAAAGAGTTGGCTCAAGGAAGAGGAGGGAAGGGAATGAAGTTAAAGAAACAGGTTGGGTCTACAGTCATGGTTCTTAAAGTGGGGTTCCTGAACAGCTACGTCCTATGGTCAACCTAAAATTGTCAGGAGGCAATAATTAAGAAGGAACGTTTACTTGGGATCAAAGAATTGCAATTCGGGGTACACAAATTTGGGTAGTAACCCAAATAGTGTCCCATTAGAGAGCAAAGTCAGGTTTTTAAAGCAAAAAAGTAAAGTTTGTATAGGTTGTTTACAAAGAATTTTTTATTGGTGTTCACGGCAGAAAGCTACTCTTGACCCAGTATAATTGGTTACTAAGGCTATCACTAAGCAAAGTCTCTTACTATAGCAAGTTGCAGGTGTTCAGGCTGAGTCCCTGGAATATTTGCAGTCTGACCCAGTTCAAAAGTTCATGGATCCATCAGTGAGGATGTGCAAAAGGCCCACCTCCTTAATGGCCTCCCGGCTGCATTTTAAAACCCCTTGACACAAGTGACCCCATTTCATTTCACCTTTCACAGTATCAACCGGGAACTTGTTAGAAATGCAAATTCTTGGAACCTACGGAGTCAAAACTCTGGAGGCAGATCTCAAGCAATCCCTGTTCTAACAAGTCTTACAGGTGATTCTGATGTATGTTAGAGTTTGAGAACCACTGGTCTAGAAAAAGTAAACAATGTTTGAGATCTCAGCAGTGAGCAGTGTCCTCCAAAGAGGTACAGAGGACTGTTGTACTGGTTCATGGCTGATGTGATGTGGTGATGAGTCAGTGGTTAAAGAAGGGAATATTCAGGTGAGTCATCTGACGACTGAGGATAAAATTAAGGGTTGGAATAAAAGGAAAAAAGAGATCCAGGTGTTTAGATCATCAAAGAAGGTGAAAGTGAGTCTTGGAGGATAGTCTGTGAAGGTAAAGATTGAGAATGAGTAATATATTGGGATACCAAATGAAAGAAACTGAGAACTATGGTAGATAAAAGGTTTAGCCATGACAGTAATGAGCAAGGACCAGAACAGCCCCTATTTCCTCTCCTCTTTAGTTGGGAAAATGGGAAAAACTAAGTAATTGTCAAAAGAAAAAGGAGCCAGGGAGTGTCCGCCTGATTGGAGATAGTGATGGTGGCTGCCTAAGTTGAAGAAAGGAGGTGAGGATACATGGGAGTTTTAACTTAGCCCACCACTTAAAGCAAACTAGTCTTGAGGATGAGTAGAAAACAGTTCAATGGTGGAAGTTCTTCTGAGTAGTTAGCATAACTAACATGCCTCAAGAACACAGTAGACTGGAAGGTCAGATCAGTGGACCAGCCTCCATTAAATGAATGGAGGACACCTAGTGGATGGAGAAAACACATACATGCAAACAAGATATAATCCAATTTTCAATATAATGTACTGACGCAAACTTTTTCAGTAAGATAAAAAAACAAAATGGTGGCATGGGAAGTTGGCTGTTATATTTCTAGACATTACAACCACAGCTGTTATAGACTATTTAGAGGACAAGGAGCATTTCTGATGGTAGAGGAAGGAACAAGGATAAACCCACACTTAAAATCTGTAGTTACTGTTTAAGCAAGGAGTCATGGTCAAAGTGAATTCCCGTTCTAATACAAAAAGTTAGAGGACAGCCCCCAAAATGCCAGTGTGATATTCTTATATAAGGTCCTATATTTTAATGGCATTCCTTTGTTTAATATGGAGAAAGAAAAAAGTAGAGTTTTGTAATTTAGTCAGAAAAAGTGATACAAGATACATGTTTTATTTCCATGGATTTCTGAAATTATATACTTAAAAAAAAATCTCCCTATTCAAATTTACCCCCACTATATAATATTTATTATACCAACCAAACTGACACAATCATTGCTCTTGAAAGATAACAGATGTAAAATCTAACAGATTCTAAAACATAATTAGATTGCAACCAACTGGCTAACAACAAAAAGAAAAACTAAAGAACGTGAACCTTTACAACAATTTACACAGCTCTGTTTAACTTAATAAATAAGAAAAATATGCTTTGGATAAGCCATTATTTCACCATTTCTCAGAGAATAAGGCACACAATCACTAGCATTACAAATCACAAATGTGTAAGAAAATCTAAAGACAACAAATGGTATTGGGAAAAAAAGCAAGTGCCATCAAGACATGACTTTTATACCAAAATAACATTAAACTATGAAAATGTAAAATTTTATAGCAACTAAATTTTCTTTCTCTAATAAAGGTTAATCATTTTTAACAGATCACCTGAAAGAACAAAGGAAAAAGCAAATTTCCTAAAAATCTTTCATTTTAAAAAACATGTTTTGTTTCTCAGTATCAGTATTTTTTTCCCCCTAAAGATTCTATTTATTTATTTGACAGAGAGAGACACAGCAAGAGAGGGAACACTAGCAGGGGGAGTGTGAGAGGGAGAGCAAGCTTCCCTCCGAGCAGGGAGCCCGATGCGGGGCTCGATCCCAGGACCCTGGGATCACGACCTGAGCCAAAGGCAGACGCTTAACTGAACCACCCAGGCGCCCTAAAAAAAAAAAAGTGTATGTGCCTCCTGAGCAAGAGGATTCAGGAACTATAATAATAAATTTAATATGTTGTTAAAAATTCACTTGATAATGTCGGCCACCCTTAATTATCATTATCGGAACCACCTGCTTCTCTAAGACTGGCATACGGTTACCTCAGACGTCAATATGGATCCCATGTTTTGAAGACATCATTTGCCTGGTCCCTGTGAAATACATAACGAACGAACAGATGTGAGGTAAAGAGGCGGTGATAATGACATAAAGCCAGAATGGCAAAGGAGAGGTTTTTCCAAATGGGCATATCCACAGGCCGTGACGAATTCCATCTCGGATATGATGTGAGGTCCACGATATAAATAACATCCAGGGAAGAAAGCACCATGAGTCTTTGAGCTTGAAAAGGTGCATAGTAAACCTCAGGGTCAGAACCACAACTGGTATGACAGTAGAGCAGTGAAGAAAAGGTCTTCGTGGAAGAGTCAAAGCAGCCTGCCGGGGAGAGCAGTAGCTAGTATCATTTCCCTCTTGGCAAACAACATTTGGTAGATGCTTCTTAATATTCTAAAACATCTTCTATGAGTCTATTAGAAATACAATGGAAACATTTTCTGCATCACCTATGAATACATGTATTAAATCTGTTACATATAAAGCAAAGAAGAGTGAGTGGGATATTCTCTGCATTAACAATGAAACCAAGATCTCAAGAACATGGTGATTAATTTTTTAAAGCTTCCTATTAGTTGCTTAGAAAAGTCACAGTACAAATGTAAATTTATATCCCAAATGTATGGTTTGTGTAAATTTGGAGTTTTAGAGAATTATCTGGGGCCTCTTAAGCATTGAAAAAAATCTCACAACTGAATAAAATATTCTATTAATAAGGGCATGAAAAGGAAATGTTTTTGTTGTAACCACTTTATATTAGCCTTGAATATTTTCAGAATGCACTTAAAACAACATTTAGAAAGATTGTATTATTTTAAATAAGTATTATAAAGTTGAGTTAAACTCCAGTAAAAATTTTAAACCAGTACAAAAAATTTAATCAGTAACTAAACAAATGAAAATTTCAGGGTTAACCAACCCCTGAATGATTCTTTTCTTTTTTTTTTTTTTTAAGATTTTATTTATTTATTTGACAGAGAAAGCACAACCAGGGAAGCAGGAGAAAGAGAGGGAGGAGCAGGCTCCCTGCTGAGCAGAGAGCCCAATGCGGGATCATAACCTGAGCCAAAGCAGATGCTTAACCAACTGAGCCACCCAGGCGCCCCGCTGAATGATTCCTGAGTAAGGTTTTGCTCTCATATACTCTAAAGGCTAATTTTCAATTAGATAATTTCTAAATAAAAAGGAAGCCAAGGGCAGTGAAGATTGCCTAAATCCAAATCTCCCCACACATCCTCAAAAACATTACAGACAAGGGCAAATAAAACTATACCAAACCCCACTCAGCATAGACAGAAGCCAGAGTGCCCAAAACTTCAAATACTCTGAAGTATTAAAATACATACCACATCTGTGCGCTTTCTCTCACACTCCCACCACAAGCCAGGAAAGATGAGGGGACCTACGATTGATCTAAAATTACCACTGGAAAGAGAAGTATTGAAAACGGTCCTGGTTGATCAGAGCACTGGCTACAAAGCAAGGACTTAAAAGTGTGCATGTTTCAAGGCTTTAAGAGGCACTGGTTCTGGGGCAGAAGATGGCAAAAAGGAAGGGAGGGGAATCATTTGGACACTGGGTGGTAAAGAGGAAAAGAAGGAGTAAAAAAAAAAATTAGGTACCTATAAAAAAAAATTAGAGGCATGACCTTCCCACCATTAAAATACAAGGCATCCATTAAAGGGATTATACCTTCACCATGTGCAGTCACATGACCCTTAAACCTGTGTCTAACTCTCACCTACTGACTGAATATCAAAGAGTTTACGCTACATTCTTCTTCCTTCTCCCTTACGATAAATTCTAGATCAATGTATTTAGGAACCACACTTTTTATGATGCTTGGTAGTTTATTCCAATCTCTACTCTAACATTTATTGTGAACTATTTGCCGGGGTCTGTCCTCTAATGTGCTCATTTAACACCCATGACTGCCCCGTGAGGTAAGTAATGACAGAATCCACACTTTACAGAAGACACAGAGACAAGAAAGTGCTCTAACACCACATACTAGGATTCAAACTCATGTCTTCTGATTCCAAACTCAAACACAATGTTATTCTGCCTTCACCTACAGCAAAAAAGCTAAAATTTGTCTTTAATCAGGAATTACTGATTCCTTACTGAAGTTTTTTAATAAGTGAGACAACCTCTGAGAAATACCTGGTATGTGACACATAAAAGGAAGAAGTGATCATTTCTCATTCGTTCAACAAACACCTACTGAACCCCTTCTAGATGAGCCAGGCACTATTCCAGGCCAGCGGTGAACAAAGCAAGGTCCTTGCTCTGTGAATGTTTACAGGTCATAAGCATGGAAAAGGTAGGCAAATCTGTTGACACTTAGAAAAAATGATCTTAGAACAGCGAAAAAAGACCCAGGAGAACCCTGACAATGACCCCCATTATTTTAAACCAGTTGATTAATGCTTCCTTCAAGACTTGGCTAAGTACCATCCTCTGTAAAGCCAACACAGAACTCCCCAGGTACATATAGTAAGTCCTTAGCTCTCTACGCATCCTTGGCACTTGGTGATGCCAATAACTTGATTAGCAACATGTCTGTGTTCGCCTTCAAGGAAGTACTAAGTGCTCAAAAAAAAGTTGGATGAATGGGCTTTCTTATTTTAAAATAAAGATAATCTTCTCTAGTTCTAAAATGATGCTGTGAAGATCAATATAATGGTGCTAAAGAAATTAAAGACCAGAAAAATTAAACATATATGCCTCTTACCTTTAAAGATAAAGATCCAGCTAGAAAAAAGTGGTCTACATCAATAACAGAGGCTAAAAATCCAGCTAAAATGATTTCTCCAAAGTCAGTTGTCTTCTTGACTCCAATGACAATTGCCCACAACCACATGCCAATCACACAATGTACGGCGTTATCTGAGAGGGCTCGAAGCCAGTCATTTTGCTGAATTATCGAAAACTGAAGAAGTCTATCGGCTACTAGGCAAAATATCCCCAGACCAAGGCTGGAAATAAGAGACTCAGTGCTACAAGACTGGAGTAAAGCATGGGTCTTCTCAGCCTCAGATGCCATCCCAGACAATCCGTCAGTATATACTAAAAGCCATCAGGAAACAAATAGCTTATTTTTGTTTACATTCCCAGTCACCCTAAAACAGAAAGCAGAGGAAAAGATTAATGCCACGTAACATTTAAACAAAACAATTTCAGCAATAATTTCACAAATACAAAACCAAGCTGTAAAAACTGGTATTTTTTTTTGACCATTGTCAGTAATTTCATTTTATTTTTCCCAGCTTCACTGAGATATAGTTGGTAGATAATACTTGTTAAGTTTAAGGTATATACTGTGATGATTTCATATACAGACATATTGTGAACTGATGGCCACAGTAAGGTTAGTTAACATCTCCATCACCTCACATAGTTACCTTTTTGTGCATGTGGTGAGAACATTAAGACTACTCTCCTAGTAACTTTCAAATATAACAAAACTGTACTTCTTACATGTTATATACAATACGCCATGCAGCCCAAAGAGAATAGGTTAGCTTTACAGGAACAACAGTTTACACGTTAGTATGTATCAAGGTAAATTTAAGAAAGCCCACCAACTGTAATCTATTACTTTGAGGTCATCAAATAGTTTTATCTCTCAGCAATGTGTGCTACATGGTAGTGGGCACCCATTGTGTCTCTGTACCCAGCAACTATTTTCCAAACTTCTGAAAACAGCATCTCCTTCCTTTAGGAAAACTGCTCATCACAATACCCAAACTCTGGAACTGACCAATTAGAATTCTCTCTCTTATCAGTAGTAGTAATTAATTAGTAATTATTAACTAGTCATCATTTTCCAGTAGTGATTAGACTAGTGATAAATAATATGGTGATTAAGGTGATCCAGGCTGGACCAATCAGACTTCCTTCTAGAATTTCCTAACTGGAGCTGGTGGGAGAAAGTTCCTTTTCTTCTTACAGACCTGGGCTCCACTACATGGAGCAGTCTAAGTAAAAAGAATCATAAGGACATCAACTCCTCAGGTCCAATCTTTTGAGTTTCTCAGAGCTGCCCTAGTTCTTACAGCTTACCCTTTACTTTACTTCTATGAGCTAACCCAGGATTCTTCCAATAAATCCCTTTTTCTTTTCTGTTGCCTCTAACCACAGAACTTTAATTGATATAAAAAGGCAATCATAATTCTGTGCTGAGTACTTACCTGGCATAGAATACTGAAATCATTTATCCAGTTAAAGTTATCAATATTATGTGATACCTGAAGTTTTTGTTTTGTATTGTTTTAATTCTGAGACTAAAGAATAACTAAATGATGTATTAAAGATGATTCAACTTCCATTCTGTAATAAAAACTATCCATAGCTCATTATATATATATATTCTAAAATTTATAGGGAAACACAAAAGACTAGAACAGGAAAACAATTTGGAAAAAGATGAGCTAAGTTGAAGGACTTAAACCATCTGACTTCAAGTCTTACACAGTTGCAGTAATTAACGACAGTGTGGTATTGGTATAAAGACAGACATGAATAGAGCAATGAAACAGAATAGAAAGAGCAATGAAATAGAATAGAAAGGACGATCAGAAATAGATCCACACAGGGATTCCTGGGTGGCTCAGCTGGTTGAACACTTGATTCCTGATCTCAGCTCAGGTCTTGACCTCAGGGTTGTGAATTCAAGCCCTGTATTGGGCTTCACACTGGGTGTAGAGCCTACTTAAAATATATATATATAAAATAAATTAAAAAAAGAGATAGGTCCACACATACACTGTCAATTGATGTTTGACAAACATGCAAAAGCAAGTAAATGGAGAAAAGATAGTCCTTTCAGCAAATGGTGCTGAAACAAGTGGATATCCACAGGCAAAAATAATGACTCTCAAACCATACTTTACTCCATATACAAAAATTAAGTCAAAATGGATCACAGAACTAAAAGTAAAACGTAAAACTATAAAAATCCTGGAAGAAAACATAGAATATTCTTATGTCCTTGGGTTATGCAAAGAGTTCTTAGAAGCAACATCAAAAGGCCGATCTGCTTTTTAAAAATTGGTAAATTGAACTTCATCAAAATTAAGAACTTCTGTTCTTTGAAAGACTATGTTAAGGGGCGCCTGGGTGGCTCAGTCAGTTAAGCGACTGCCTTCGGCTCAGGTCATGATCCTGGAGTCCCGGGATCGAGTCCCACATCGGGCTCCCTGCTCAGCAGGGAGTCTGCTTCTCCCTCTGACCCTCTTCCCTCTCGTGCTCTCTATCTCTCATTCTCTCTCTCTCAAATAAATAAATAAAATCTTTAAAAAAAAAAAAAAAAGACTATGTTAAGAGAACGAAAAGACAAGCCACAGACTGGGAGAAAATATCTGCATATCTCATATTTGATAAAGGATTTATATCTAGAACAAAGAATTCTGGAAACACAATAATAGAAAAATAAACATACAAAAATGGGCAAAATATGTGAAAAGGTACTTTACAAAGATGATATACAGGTGATCAATAAGCACATGAAATACACTCAACCTCATTAATTATTAGGGAAATGCAAATCAAAACCACAATGAGATACAAGACATACCTAATTAGAATGGCTAAAATTAAAGACTTATCATCCCAAACGTAGAAAAGATGTGGAGCAACCAGAACTCTCATACACTGCTGGAGGAAATTTAAAATGATAAACCACTTTTCAGTTTCTCAAAATGTTAAACATACTTCTATCATAGATTCAGTCATTCCACTCCTAGGTATTTACCTGAGAGAAATGCAAGCATACACCCACACACAGACTTGTACATGAATGTTACAGCAGCTTTATCTACATTAGCTCCAAACTGGAACAAGCCAACTGGATAAACAAAACATGGAACAAAAAGAGACAAAAAAGTAATACAAACAAAAACATTGATGAATTTCAAAATAATACTTAGTGAAATAAGCCAAACAAAAAGAAAAGAAAAATAGAGTATACAGTCAAAACTTGTGGAACTGTACAACACAAAGAATGAACCCTCATGTAACTATGGACTTCAATCAATACATCAATGTCGGTATATTAATTGTCACAAGGTATCACACTAATGCAGAATGTTAATAATAAGAAGAAATGTGTGTGGAGGGAGAAGTAACATACGGGAACACTCTATACAGTCTGCTCAATTTTTCTGTAAACCAAAAACTGCAATAAAAAAGAAAGTCTTAATTTTTAAAAAGTAAATAAATGAAGTAAGTATGGAAAATGTTATAATTGTTTAATATAGGTAATGGATATACTATAGTTCATTATATTATCTTCTACTTTTCTATATATTTGCAATTTTCATTTGGAAATACTTTTAAAAGAGTACAGAACATGATTCCATTTATATAAAATTCAAGAAAATGTAAACCAATTTAAGTGACAGAAAGCAGATCAGTGGGGCCAGAAGGATAAAAAAGGAGATTAAGAAACTTTGGGAGAACAGATGTGTTCATTATCTTGACTGTGGTGATAGTTTCATGGTTTATAGTTTCATATACACATCAAAATGTACCAAAATGTTATGTGTCAATTATACTCCAACAAAGATGTTAAAAAGTTCGGAGAATATACTTTATTGTCAATAACAACATCAGGCTTTCAAAGGAGCACTCTGAAAACAAGAGCTTATGGAGATGAAAAGTCTGATTGCCCAAATAAAAGCTCATCAGGAACAATGCATAGTAAAATGAATGCTTCAAAAAACACAAATAGTGAATAAGAACATTTTTGAAGAATTTTCTCAAAGCTTGTTGGGGAAAAAAATGACAAAGAGTTAAGCACTGAAAGAAAAAATAAATTCAAAAAATAAAGATAAAATCCTTTAGAGTTTCCAAATCCTGCCCCCCCCCCAGCCAAAAAGGTTATCTGCAAAAGGAAAATGTGATTTGGCAATAAATGCCAAAATACTGTGGGCCAACATTACTAAAGCTCTGAGAAATGGATCATGACTGTAGGATTCTACATAAACTAAATTATGGCACCTCTGTGACAATCATGAATTTCATAATTTTGCCTTCGAAATTATAACAGCTATATACGATTTCTGGGGGAAGAAGGATGGAGGAACAAGACTTCTAAATCACTAGGGAGACAGAAGAGGAATAAAGAAAACTTGATCAGTACAGAAAAACAGAAAAGGAAAAAAAAGAAAAAAGACTTTACTGTCACCCCAACCCCCCAAAAGAGTAAAAGGGACCAAACATCAAACACACATGTATTGGGGCGCCTGGGTGGCTCAGGTGGTTAAGCGACTGCCTTCGGCTCAGGTCATGATCCTGGAGTCCTGGGATCGAGTCCCACATTGGGCTCCCTGCTCAGCAGGGAGTCTGCTTCTCCCTCCTACCCTCTCCCCTCTCATGCTCTCTCTCTATCTCATTCTCTCTCTCAAATAAATAAAATCTTTAAAAAAAAACACACATGTATTAAATTTATCTATAAAGAAACAGATCGGGACAAAAGGAAACACCCCAGTTATTGTTCATAAGAAAATATCTCAAACAAAAAGTCTCAGCAATATACAAAATAAAGAGATGAGAAAATGTGTATCTAGAATATACAAGCCAAATAAAGCAGCTGTGGTAGTATTAATATCAAATACAAAATTCATGGCAAAAGACTTAGTGGTACTAAAAAGATAAAATAAAGTTATCTAAGATGCTTACAGGGCACTGGGGTAGCTCAGTTGGTTAAGCGTCCAACTCTTGATTTTGGCTCAGGTCATGAACTCAGGGTCATTGGATGGAGCCCTGAGTCAAGCTGCGTGCTCAGAGCAGAGTCTACTTGAAAATCTTTCTCCCTCTCCCTCTGTCTCTCCCCCCGCTCATGCTCTCTCTTGCATTCTTGCTCTCCCTCTATAAATAAATAAGTAAATAAATAAATAAAATCTTAAAAAAAAAAAGATGCTTATGTGACAAACCACAAATTTGTAACTAATACAAGAGCCAGACCATTTTATTGAGTAAGAAGACAACATTGATGGTGTTATTCTCCTATTCTCCTCAAATAAAATCTATAAATTTAATATTAATCTAATTAAAAGCAGTAAGATATGTAAATTATATCAAGTAGCCAAAAATAGGTATAGATAATCTAAACAATATAATTACAAGTTTGATTTCATATGCAGGTCTAAAATGACACATTTTACATGGAAAACACATTCTTTCCAATTGTCCATGAAACATTTACAAAAGTTAACTACCCATTTACTCATCCACAAGAAAAACTTCAATAAAATCTAAATATTGGAAATGTTCAGGCCAAATTCTCTGACGACAATGCAATTCATCACCTTTTTTTTTAAGATTTTAGTTATTTTATTTATTTGACAGAGAGAGACACAGCAAGGGAGGGAACACAAGCAGGGGGAATGGGACCTGGTTAAAAAGAAAAATACAGTGGCCTAGTTAGCTCAAAGAAACTAAGCTTAAATGGTGGTGCAAGTAATACCTTTAGAGCCAAAAGACTTGTTTTCAAGTATTTATGCTCTGTACACATTTCAGGAAGGAAAACAAAAGTTCAGAGAGCAAGGACTCAGTCAACTTTGTTCACTACTGTATCTTTCATACATACTAAGTGCTCAATAAGTGTTGAATGAATTCATGAAAAATCTTTATATACTGGATCTGTTATCCAGCAGGAATTGCATATTAAATACTTAAACGGCATTTAGCAAAATGTAATATCCATTCCTGGGATCTGCATTTTTAGCAAGTATAACTACCAAGTAATTTTTATATTCACTAAACATTGAGAAACACTAGTTTACCAGAAACCAAAAACATGAAAACCGAGAAACATTACCTTAAAAGTTAGAAACAGTAAAGCTATCAGAATATTGTTCTGGCAGTTTCATTCCACTTAACCAGGCAAGGAAGGGATGGAGGGAGAGCGGAAGAAAATGTATCATTACCTTACCAGGAAGAACAAGATAATTACATTAGTTGGCAAGTGAAATGACTGCCTATTCAAGAGAATCCATTGAAAACCATTAGAATTTAAGTTGCAAATGGTGGCTAATTCAAGATAAATACTAAAATAACCTTTATAATATACAAGTAATCGTCATAAGAAAAAAGTGGGAAAAAACAGTCACAACAGCAATAAAAACCCAAATACCAAGGAATAGTCAGAAAATATTTGTGAGGAAAACAACAAAGCTGTATTAAAGGACACAAAAGAGCAATCGTTCTTTCGAGCTCTGGTGGCTTCATACTATGTCAGCTCAGCTTAGTTGGAAGCACGTTTTTCAGAATTCCCTTCCTTGTAAAGTTCTTGTATAGTTCCTCCTTGCATGGGGAGCTTGCACATGATCTGTTAGCTTGCCTTGTTGGCATGGGGAAGTGGACTGGCCTGCAGCTCCTTCAGCTTCTCCAAATCCTGGGTCTGCGTGTGCAATCCCCGGGTCAAGGGTGCTAGCCTCTCCTGTAGATCATCACCCACAGCATCAAAACTGGAGTTGGTGAGAAGCCAATGCAGATTCCATTCTGTCCCTGCTCTCCACATCCACTTTCCCTTCTCAACTGTGTCTAGCTGGTTTGTAACCTCTTCAGGCTCAACAACAGACTCAGAGGCAGGAGTCTGTCCAGACTGCTTTCCCAGTCCCCCCAATTACAGAATGTCTAACCCCTAAGTCCCAGGCAAAGTAGTTCTGCTTCTTTGATGGAATGTAACTAAAACAAGAGCCAGACCATTTTATTGAGTAAGAAGACAACATTGATGGTGTTATTCTCCTATTCTCCTCAAATAAAATCTATAAATTTAATATTAATCTAATTAAAATCATAAAGGGATTTTCTTTTAGGAACTTCACAAAGTGTTTCTAAATTTCATTTAAAAGAGTTAATGCCAATAAACTTGGAAAAGCAGAGTGTACTGAAAGGTGAATACAAAGTCTAGAAATCGAGTAAGTGTGTGTATGGGGTATGGGGAATGTGTATATAATTCTAAATTGGTAGAGGGACAATTATTATTTAACTCTGATCCTGTATTGTTAGAATTCTTAAGTGCATGGAAAAGAAAACACTCTGGCAGTAAATGCAAAAAACAAATTTATTAAAAGGATACTGGGAAATCACAGATTTGCCAGGTTTCAAGAATCAGGCCTCAAAGCTATGCCTCAAGCACCTCAGTGAAAATGACACCAGACAACTGGTCTGGTGAAGACCTCCCCACCACGGAGCCCAACTTACACTGCCTAACCCCCTGTCACCAGGTATTACCACTGGCACTGAGTCAGTGCTGCCCTGTCCACTGCTGCCGTGGAAGACTCTTGACTGTATTTGCTTATTTGAGCTCATACACTATTTGGATGGGGGAGGGTATGTGTCCAATTGGCTGGGCCTACATCACATGACTAGCTGCAAGGGAGGCTGGAAAAGACAGTATTTGGCTTTCTCAGCACATATTGTGGAAAGTGGGCTCTCTGTTTCTTCCAGTTGCATTAGAACAGCATACTGACAAATATACTATGCTGGACAGAAAGAGCCGTCCACACTAGTAGGCAGTCTGTTAGGCTTTAATTGCTAAGTAATACTGGAGAGAGTCAATCATCAGACGGAACCTGAGACTGGATCATCTACTTTCAATCTATGCAATGCATAGTTCAATACAGTAGAGTTGTTTAATCAAACAACTCTAGGTTTCAAAATGTCACATCCACACGGATCAGTTTTGCAACGTAACAGAACATTTCCCTGGTTAAATTAACAAAGGGAATCAGTTTCGTTGACTAGCCCTGGAAAATGTCTATGATTAGACAGCTTTTGTAATCAGTTTGGTTATCAAGTTTGGGATATTTACATGAATTTGTAAACAGACTTCTACATAGTCGAGCTAGCTTGACTTTTAGAGAGGAGCTCAAAATTATTTTTATTTAAAAAAAAATTTTTTTTATCTATTTGTCAGAGAGAGAGTACCAGCGGGGAGAACGGCAGGCAGAGGGGAGAAGCAGGCTCAACACTGAGCAAGGAGCCCGATGCAGTACTTGATCCCAGGACCCCGGGATCATGACCTGAGCCAAAGGCAGATGTTTAACCAACTGAGCCACCCAGGTGTCCCTCTAAATTATTTTAAAAATATTGATAGACATGACTACATAAGAATGTAAAACTTATACATGACAAAGTTAAAGACAATGGAGGAATTGTGATTCTCTTTATGATGGGGAAAGATTCGAAGTTTTACTTTATTAAGGACTCTTAAAATTAAGAAGAAAAAATAAGTATTCCAATAATAAAGTGGGCAATGTCCATCAAAAGGCAATTTGGAAAAGGAAGAAATACAAATGATCAAAAAAAATTATTAGAAGGTTTCAACTTTATTAGCAATCAATTGAATTATATTAAAACAATATTTCAATGTACAATTGACAAAAGATTGCTAATGCTTTCTGTTAGTAGTGGTAGGAAGATGATCACTCGTACTGTTTATTAACAGGAGTATAAGTTAGTATAATTTTCTAGTACACAATTTGACAATATATATCAAAAATCACTTAAAAATAAGCAAATATGGGGTGCCTGGGTGGCTCAGTGGTTAAGCGTCTGCCTTCGGCTCAGGTCATGATCCCAGGGTCCTGGGATGGAGCTCTGCATCGGGCTCCTTGCTCAGCAGGAAGCCTGCTTCTCCCTCTCCCACTCCCCCTGCTTATGTTCCCTCTCTAGCTGTCTCTTCCTCTTTAATAAATAAATAACAAATCTTAAAAAAAAAAAAAGAAAGAAATCTTTAGGGAATTATGGGTGCTTGGGTAGCACGAGATCCCAGGACCATGGGATCATGACCCGAGCCAAAGGCAGACGCTTAACGACTGAGCCACCCAGGTGCCCCTCCCTAAAGATTTCTAATGTCTTTCTATTATGACCACAAAACAAATAAAGCTACTCTGAAATTAGTCAGAAGTCATTAAACAACTCAGACCACGATGCTAAAGTCAGTCTCTTAAAGGTATAATTTTTGAAAAGTAGAAACATACTTATAACATTAAAAATATGTATTAATAAAAATATTAGAATATATAACATCAATAAACATTAATAAAATTTTATACAATTCTTTTAAGTAAAACTGATAATATAAAAATAATTTGTTCATGTTTATGTATTAGTTGACACATGCAAAGTCTGTACAAAAGATTTCTATATCTCCAGGTGAAAAAAGTTATATAGATACCTTTAATTCTTTCATATGGTGAAGAAGACTTGCTTTGCACTGAACAACTGTTTTGTTAATGATAATGGAGTCTACAACAATCCTCAAATTCTTGGTCATTTGCAATAATGAAAATTGTTCTGAAAAGCACTAAGATTGGGTTAAAGTGTACAGATTCTTCCAGGATGAGGAAATGAGTGATTTCAACATACTTTCAGGCAAGACCAAAATGTAAAAAATGCAAAAGATACGTCCAAGTCATGAAACCTTTCTATAAACTTCAGGATTTACAGTCCCATAAATTATGAAGCATTTGTTTCTACTTTACAAGATAAACTCTTGACACTTGCATGGATAAAGAAGTCAACATATTTAAAGGTTCGGTGCATATAATTTTAAAGTTTATAAAATATCCCTTTGAACCAAAGACAGATGCCAATATCCACTTAGCTGGATGGGAACTGGGACACACAAATTTCAATTTACGACCACGCCAGAGAAGTGCTACACTAGCAGAAAAATTCCCCTCCTTCAGTAAGCTGTGGCCTGCAAATTAGCCCAAAGAAGAAAGGCCACCAGGTGAATGAGCGTAAGAATGTAGGCTGGACACACTTACATAGAAGTTCAAGAGAAAAGCTCTGCTGCCACTCAAACTATGCTTATATCTGCATTTATGACAAATTTATTTTCAAATCTTATCCCAGAAAGGGGACAAAAATAAGAGGTCATTATCCACTTAATTGCAAATTGCATGATGCTACTATAAAGCCACTGCATTACATCCATCTTCTTTTACTCTTCTAAAAGAGGAAAATTTTTCATCACCCCAAATATATTTAAATGTTACTAACCTTGTGTTTTAAGTTCAGATTTTAAAAAGATGGAGAGGCTAATGATGTGTTACGAGCAAAGTAAAGCATCAAAAGATCACTTCAAGTCTTTAAATGATGATCCAAATTTAGTGACCTGAAAAAAAAAACCCTATCGTTTATAATAATATAACTATATCACGGTTTATGATTAGGAACACATACACATAATGGGGCAGCACGAAATGGATTTTATAAATGGAGAGTATACAACAGCTTGCTTGATGACAGAGGAACAAAAAGCTAATGAGTGAACATGGAAGGAGATCCTTCAGCCCCAGTCAAGTTTTTAGATGACTAGAGCCCTGCAAACGTCTGGACTATAACTGCATGGGCCCCTGGGCCAGAATCATCCAGCTAAGCCTCTTGCAAAGTCCTAGCCCACAGACACAGTGAGATAATACTTGTTAAATGTTTTAAGTCTCTAAGTTTTGGGGTGATTTGTTATACAGTAATAGGTATCTAACACAATACTCTTTCCATTTTTATAAAGGTACAATTATGGTCCCAGAAACACAATTCTGACATCTATTCCACTCTATTAGGGCATATATTTAACATCCTTAGCTTAGATTCTGAGCATGAGGATAAGAAAAAAATATTTTTGGCGGGGGGGAAAGAACATTAATAAGTGTACTGCCTTTAATTTACTGTCTCTAAGACACCCAAGTGTACCCATTTTTCTTCATACCTTTTTCTTCCTTTTTCCACTCCCCTACAAATAGAATGGACCCTGGAACCTCAAAAACTGTAACATAACTTTGTTTATTCTACATACTTACTTTTGTTGGGTAGTTCCCTTAAGAGTAGTAATTATAATTTTGTTAAGCCTCTCATGCATAAAATCAATGTGCTGAAGGTATTTAATAAATATTTCATTATACTAATACAAAGGGTAAGCAGGTAAGCAACCCTCAGCCTATGAACTAAAAATATTTTGGGGATGACTTCTTATCTCATAATAGCCTAACATGTCCTTATGACTTGCAGCCACTTTCTACAATGGTCAAACTGCCACACCCCATTCCATTATAGTAAAATATCGTCAAATATGGGGCCTTTTAAGTATACATAGTAGTAATCTTCCCTGTCCTTAACTCCACAAACATAATTAGCCAGTCACTTTAGTTATACACTATTATACAGTTTGTTAATAATTTTAGACAAATATTTCTGCCAAAATAAAGAACTAACAAATTCCCAAAGTAAATAGCATTTGCTTCACTCTTCCCATCACACAGATGTTCACAAAAACCTGAGGTAAAAGCAGTCTAAAATCTGATAACTACCTTTAGTATTGTTTCACAAATAAGTCTTTTTCAATATCAGTACTGTGAAAGTTAAAATATTTAATTTTTTTTAATTTTAATTTTTTAAAGTAATCTCTACACCGGATGTGGGGCCTAAACTCACAACCCCGAGATCAAGAGTCGCACACTCCCCCGACTGAGGCAGCCAGGAGTCCCTAATATATTTAATTTTTTAATGCTATAATACCTAAAGCAGATGCCAAATGCAGCTAATTTGCAAAGGAAAGAAACACAAATCCTGCTCAGTTTCACAGAAACTTTTGTTTAGTTCCTACACCATTAGGAATAAAACATACAATTCTGAATTTAAACATTTATCGAGTCTCAGCAAATTCCCCAAATCATTCTTTCCCAAGGCTGGTGTGATGCAGTAATTTTAAAATGCCCATTAAGAAAACAGGGCAGGAAGCCCTGGCGTCATAGCATTTCCTATGCAAGGAAGGGATCCTGTCACACTTACAGTAGTCACGCCTTCAGGGACCCGGGGCGCCTGGGACTCTCGTGCCTGTGAAAGAGGGCAATGGGCAACTCCGGCAAGAACCCCGTCACCCCGCTCTGGGCCAGGGAAACGCCGCCAGGGACAGAGCCTAGGCGAGGACTGGGTGCCTGTGGAATCTCAAAGGCTCCAGGAAGCCGGAGGAAGGAGCCGGGGCTAGGCGCACATCCCGGGATCGTCGGACAGTGCCGGCGGTCAAGCACACCCCGCTGGCTCTCGGGTCCCGCGCGCTCGCCGCCCCTGCACGCCCTCCCCATCTGGAACCTGGGGCTTTGGCTTCCCACCTCAGGACGCAGTTTGGCGGCGTCCACTCCGACCCCCTCCCGCCCGGGCCCTCCCCGAGCTCAGCCGCGCCCACCTTCGTCTTTCCAGCCTGAAGCCCGCAGCGCAAACGGTGGCCCTGCCCCTTTACCGTCCACGCGGCCGGCACCATAGAGAAGCCGGCCGCCGGCCGCCGGCCAGAGCGGCTCCAGCCCCCAAACGCCGGCGGAGAGGACGCCGGGATACCGGCCCCATTCTTAACGGACGAGAATCAGTAGCTCGGTTTTTTTTTTGGAGGAGGTGGTGGGTACTACGAGTTCTTCCCCGCCGTGCCCCATAAGGAAACCTTTGGGACAGCGGGGTGAGAAGTGCCAAGTGCCTTGTTGGTTTCCTCTGTCAAACCTGAGCATTCGTTCTTGGCTTTGCCGGCGCCGTGCCCCAGACTTAGCAGCCGACATACGACGCACCCCTACTGGCGGCTGGGAAGCTGGGGACGAAGTGACCTCACCTAATGTCGGATGTGCGGGCCCAACACCCAGACCTTGAGCTAGGAGCCACGGGCCATCTTGGGTCTCGAAGGGATAGAGAAATTTTCGGCTTCCTTTACCGGGTGTTTCAGGTTGGCCGCCGGAGTTTTTCCACGAGATGGAGGGACCGCGCGATCCTGCAGATCCGCCGCTTCTTCATAGCGCTCCATCGCCCCCTTGGGGATTTCTTGATAATTATTCTTTGCCACTTTGTGGGCGGATGGTGGAGGGCTACCACTTTATTGTGGCAGCAGTGACAGGGCTGAATCATTTAATCATGACTACTAAACGCACAGGAGTTGGAAAAAAAACTGCATAAAAGGTAGCTTGACCCTAATTAACCGGACTCGACATGCAGCTCTTTAATGGGACTATGACCAGGTCCCAGCCTGCCTTTCCGCCTGAGTGAGCACCAAGATGTCTAGCTTGGCATTGGCTCGAGGAAGCACTGGTGCAAAATAGTCTCAAAAAGGTGTATTGCTTTCTTCTTCCTGCCTAGTTTCTCAAAACAAGGGTGAGATGGAAAGCAAGGGAAATAGTGGGGTTATATTAATTTTACAGTTGAAAGACAATTCTATAGTAAAAAGTGAGATTTTCAATCTCAAGCAAACTCCTAGGTCTCCCTCTCACAGAACGCTAAAGCGTGGCTCAGTTTCTTAATGCTAGAACTTTTCACTGCTTGTCTTGGTTCTTAGCCAATGGAAAAAACTGAGGGGGAAAATGATACACATTTTAACCCACATAATTTAAAAGCTAATTAAAAAGAACACATTACCCACAAAATGGGGTGCTTTTAGTCATGTTAAGGACAGTTTTGTCTGCAGTAACAATTTCGCATTGCCCTTATGGCAGCACTGTACCTGTCTTACACTCTAGGCTTTCTAGAGCTGGACAACATGGATGGCTGCCTGCAACCAAAACAACGAAATTGTTACAATTCTTTTCTCTGTAATCACCCTACAGCCCAAAGGCACTGATTCATTTATACAACACATACTGAATGCTCTTTGTGCCAAGCACAATGCTTGGTAACAGGCTACAAAATGACTTTATGGAGCTCAAGTTCTAGTGGAGGATCTAGGCCATAAAGAAACAAAAGTTGGATGGCTGTAGTATGAGCTGTAAAGGAAATAAACAGGGTGATGTAATAGAGACTAAGTGGGTGAGGCCCTTCTGCATAAGTGGTAATTTGTGCTGAAACCTGAAGGTAGCAAGGAGCCCAGGGTGAGAAGAGCTAATAAGAGAATATTGTGACCATTCAAATCATTGACATTATCACTCCTAATCTATGCTCTGCTTGCTTTGTTCTTTTTCTCCTTGTTTCCTCTGTTGTTTCTTTTATGTCAAGAAGCTGGTCTTTTCTAGAAATCAGAAGTTAATTAGAACATTTCTGCTATAGTGGTCTAATCTTGAAGTCTCTTTAGATGTGTGGTTTTGTGCTTTCCCAATAAACAGCACTAGGTTGTAGTAAATAGCACTTTTGATGAGCTATTTTAGTTTCACACAGTTGTGTAGCATAAGTTTTTTTCCGATGTTCAAAAGAAATGAAAATAATCAGACAATTCAGATAAAATTTGGTCTTTGCTGAAGTGCTCGATTCTTAGCTTGAAGCAATATTTCATATATAAAGATCTAATTCTCTTTTGGTAGTTCTGTTGAAAAATATTTGGAGAGACCAAATAGCAAATGACCAAATGCACACAATTCTGCATATTTAAAAAGGAAAAAAAAAACTTGAGGATTAATAGTGAATGCTCCACAAGATAAAACAGCAACTATAATTTTGTTTTTCTCATAAATCTGAAATAAATTGTTCAAAATCCTAAACAGTTCTTTATTAATAAAATACATTATAAACATATAGTTTAAAATTTACAAGTTAGGTAACCTCCAAAATTAAATGTCATTGCACAGAAGTAATATATATAATTTCTTGGCTTACTAGTAATTTTATACTAGTCACTTGAACCAACATCTTTAAGGTTTATAATAATTCCATTTTTCACTTTTTAGAACTTGATAGAAGACAGTCAATATCCTGAAGGATTTCAGAGGTTTTTTTCAATGCCACTGATACTCTCTTTTCATTAACTTCTTCCAGCAAGGTTTCTGGAGATTTTGGTTCATAATGATCAGATGACTGTTTGTTTTTTTTGTTAGAAATCTGGTTTAGGATACCACTATTCTCCAATAACACTAAGTTGCTTAGTTAAGGAGTTTTTCCCCGCATTTTTCATTATACAAGTTCATTTAATTTCAGAAAGCCTAGTCTTCATATTAAAATATTATTTCTCTATGAGGTAGATCCCTTGGATTAATAATAGATTTGGTACTTCAGAACTTATCAGGTCTACCCCTTACAGATGAAGAAACTAGTTAAGATATAAGAGAGGAGGGGCGCCTGGGTGGCTCAGTCGTTAAGTGTCTGCCTTCAGCTCAGGTCATGATCCCAAGGTCCTGGGATCGAGCCCCACATTGGGCTCCCTGCTCTGCGGGAAGCCTGCTTCTCCCTCTCCCACTCCCCCGGTTGTGTTCCCTCTCTTGCTGTGTCTCTGTTAAATAAAATCTTAAAAAAAAAAAAAAGAACCAAAAAAGGAAGAAAGAGTACCTATGTGTATTTGGATGAAAGTTTGGTGATAGGGAGGAGATAAAAGAATTAAAATCTCAACATTTCTTGAAGTGAAAAGTGATGTGGAAATAAAAGAACAAAAGTAGGAGTGATAGGAATATAAATAATCTGTGCAGTGTATTTTTAAATTTTTTTTAAGAGAGGGATCCAGGAGAGTGGCAGAGGGAGAAAGAGAATCTTAAGCAGGCTCCGCACCCAGCACAGAGCCTGATGCAGGGCTTGATCTCACAACCCTGAGATCATGACCTGAGCCAAAATCAAGAGTCGGATGCTTAAATGACTGAGACACCCACCCAGGCACTCCTAGTGGGCATGGAGCCTTCTTAAGATTCTCTCTCGGGGCGCCTGGGTGGCTCAGTTGTTAAGTGTCTGCCTTCCGCTCAGGTATGGTCCCAGGTTCCTGCATTGGGCTCCCTGCTTCGCAGGAAGCCTGCTTCTCCCTCTCCAACTCCTCCTGCTTGTATTCCTGCTCTCGCTATCTCTCTGTCAAATAAAATTAAAAAAAAAAAATTCTCTCTCTCCCTCTGCCCCTCACCTGCATAAATGAATGAATGAATGAATGATATGGAGTGGAAAGAAACCTGTCCTCTGATGCAGGGCTACTTTATTATTTGAATAGGACTACAGAAAAATCACATGATAAGGGTGCCTGGGTAGCTCAGTTGGTTAGGCGACTGCCTTCAGCTCAGGTCATGATCCTGGAGTCCCGTGATCGAGTCCCGCATCGGGCTCCCTGCTCAGCAGGGAGTCCGCTTCTCCCTCTGACCATCCCCCCATCATGCTCTTTCATTCCCTCTCTCTCAAATAAATTAATAAAATCTTTTAAAAAATCACATGATAAAAGAAATTAGATGAATGGGGTAGGAATGTACAGAACAAAAGATTTCATAAGAAAAATGAGTCAAATTATAATTGGACAACCTAGAAGAAACAGGTAATTCCTCGAAACTGGGGCACCTGGGTGGCTCAGTTGGTTAAGCGGCCCAGGTCATGATTCCAGGGTCCTGGGATCGAGCGCCGTGTCCGGTTCCCTGCTCAGCAGGGAGCCTGCTTCTCCCTCTCCCTCTGCCTGCCGCTCCCCCTGCTTGTATTCTCTCTCTCTCTCATAAAAAATCAAAAAAATCTTTAAAAAAAATTCCTAGAAACATACAACCTACCAAGACTGAATCTTAAAATAGAAAATCTGAATAGACAGATCACTAATAAGGAAATTGAATCAGTAATCCAAAACTTCCCAACAAATAAAGAGCCCAGGACCAGTTGGCTCAGTTCATTAAGCATCTGCCTTCCGCTCAGGTCATGATTTCGGGGTCCTGGGATCAAGTCCTGCATCGGGCTCCCTGCTCAATGGGCAGCCTGCTTCTCCCTCTCCACTGCTTGTGCTCTCTCATGCTCTCTCTCTCTCAAATAAAATCTTTAAAAATAAATAAAATTCTCTCTCTGTCCCTCCCCCTCCTCTCTCTTACAAAAAAAAGAAATTCAGTAGAGTTTCAGGATATAAAATCAATATACAAAAATCAATTATATTTCTATTCACTAATAACAAACTATCAGAAATTAAGAAAACAATCCCATTTATAATTATACCAAAAAGAATAAAATTCCTAGGAATACATTTAAGAAAGGAGGTGAAAGATCTGTATACTGACAGACATTTATGATGGAAACTGAAGAAGACATAAATAAATGGAAAGATATTTTGTACTCATGAATTGGAAGAATTAATATTGTAAAAATGTCCATGCCACCCAAAGCAATCTATAAATTCAATGGAATCTCTATCAAATTTCAACAGCATTTTACAAAGAAATAGAACAAACAATCCTAAAATTTCTGTGGAACCACAAAAAAACCCAAATAGCCAGAACAATCTTAAGAAAAACAAAGCTGGAGGCATAATGCTTCCTGATTTCAAACTATATCACAAAGTTATAGTAATCCCAAAAGTATGGCATGGGCATAAAAATAGACACATAGATCAATGGAACAGAATAGAGAGCCTAGAAATAAACCCATGCAGGGCAGCACACGGGTGGCTCAGTCAGTTGAGCATCTGACTCTTGATATTGGCTCAGGTCATGATCTTTGGGTCATGAGATCGAGCCCCACATTGGGCTCTGTGCTCAGCACAGAGTCTACTTGTCCCTCTCCCTCTGCTCCTCCCCTAGACCACATGTGTGTGCTTTCTCTGTCTCTCAAATAAAATCTTAAAAGAAAAAAAAAAAAGGAACCCATGCATACATGGCCAATTAATTTACAACAAAGGAGTCAAGAATATACAATGGTGAAAAGATGGGCTTTTCAATAAATGGTGTTGGGAAAACTGGATCCCTATCTTACACCATACACAAAAATCAACTCAAAATGGACTGAGGACTTGAACATATGACCTGAAACTGTAAAACCCCTAGAGGAAAACAGGGGGTAAGCTCTTTGACATCAGTCTTGGCAGTTATTTTTTGGTTCTGATACCTAAAGCAAAGGCACCAAGAGCAAAAATAAACAAATGGAACCACATCAAACTAAAAAGCTTCTGCACAGGAAAGGATACCATCAACAAAATGAAAAGACAACTTATGGAATCAGAGAACATATTTGAAATATATATCTGGTAAGAGGTTAATGTCCAAAATACATAAAGAGCTCATACAAATAGCAAAAAAACTGATTAAAAAATGGGCAGAGGAACTAAATAGACATTTTTCCAAAGACCTACAAATGGTCAACAGGTATATGGAAGGGTGCTCAATATCACTAATCATTATGGAAATGCAAATCAAAACCACAA